AGCTAAATTTTAAAGCAGCTCTACGATGCGAGTTCAGTCCCTTCCCAGCGCAGGTTAGTTCGGCAGGTCAAATTTTTTGCCTAGGCTCAATTTCTGTGTTTACGACCGTTGTAAAAGCACCGCATGAGCCGGACACCTGTCTTTACTCGAAATTTAGGAATTATCTTTCGCATTTTTTTCAGAATTCGATTGGTGGGGAAGAAAATTTTTTTCTTTGAATTATTGTCAGATAGTTCCATAATCCATCAACCGAATCGGGATGAAAAACGGCCAGATACTCAGCGTGCTAGAGGCGTCTAAAAATCACTGAATTGAGTAGAAATGAAGATTTTCATTTTGATAAGTAATAAGTTTTCTGTTGAGACAAAAATTAATTCTGTTCTTAAACCTCCCTCTGAACGGTTCACGGAGGGGAAACACCGAGGGAGTTAATAATTGAGTCTTTAAAAAATTATTAACACATTCGATCTCTACGATGCGTGTAAAAGTCCATAAGAAATAAAACTACACGGCGCAACCTTGAAAAATGATTCAAAAATTTTGAAAAAATTCACATGTACTTTCCATGTCATTGGTTATCTTTATCAAACACGAAAATTATGAAATTCAATTTTTTTTACATATGAGCCATCCTAATGGACACAGAAATGGCCTTGGCGTATGGATTACCTCCGAATCGTAATTCCCCGAAAGTTCTCCCATGTAATTGCCCAACCATTCTTTAATTCGTCCTGCACCCCGAGGTCTCACTCCCTTTTGTCCCTAATTACGACCACGAACTCGAGGGATTGGCTGGCATGCCATCAACCGAGAGAGCGGTGGTGGGCCCCAAAATAATAGAGTGCCTCACGAAAAGATGAAGAAAAGATCAAATGAGAGGTATAAAAAAAACACAAAGAACAGAGGACAGAGATACACAAAAAGCCCTTGTGTATACAAGTTTGAACACGACGTGGCCGAAGTGCCGGCGAGTGTTACCGAAGAGGTGGAATCGTGGTATAGCATGGACGTCTAGTCAGTATGTTTTTCCAGCGGCAGTTTGCTCAGCGTCGTCGTGTCGAGTGGAGGGTAGACTCTCGTGTTCTCACCAAGTTCGATGAAATCCACGCAAACCACTGAAACCGATTGAGTTAATCGATAATGAAGTGAAGACGATCGAGTGAATTCACAAGAACTAGTGAAGAAATGATTGAATCTGGATTATAAAATAGGATGGCTCGAATCATGCGGGTTTTGTGGTGTGTGGTAGTCGTTCTGGGGACGGCTGTCACTGTGACGAGGTCCTGGGGCATCGGTCACGCAGGACATGCCGGCAATGGCAATGCCAAGTGCGAGAGACTTACCGTTTCTCTATGTAGGGGATTGCGGTACAATCTCACTGCAATGCCGAATTTCATGGGACACACGGACCAGTTGCAAGCTGAACGCGGGGTGAGCATTCATTAATGGAGATAAAAGCGCAGGGGAAATTCAGTTTAAGGGATTTATAGGGGAGAGTGGAGTAAAACGGCCCCTTTTGATTTTTTCAAAAATGTTGACAGCTCATTCAATTTTAAATAAAATGAAATAATTTTTTTTCCTATGGAAACTAAACTTCTTCGNCATGTCATTGGTTATCTTTATCAAACACGAAAATTATGAAATTCAATTTTTTTTACATATGAGCCATCCTAATGGACACAGAAATGGCCTTGGCGTATGGATTACCTCCGAATCGTAATTCCCCGAAAGTTCTCCCATGTAATTGCCCAACCATTCTTTAATTCGTCCTGCACCCCGAGGTCTCACTCCCTTTTGTCCCTAATTACGACCACGAACTCGAGGGATTGGCTGGCATGCCATCAACCGAGAGAGCGGTGGTGGGCCCCAAAATAATAGAGTGCCTCACGAAAAGATGAAGAAAAGATCAAATGAGAGGTATAAAAAAAACACAAAGAACAGAGGACAGAGATACACAAAAAGCCCTTGTGTATACAAGTTTGAACACGACGTGGCCGAAGTGCCGGCGAGTGTTACCGAAGAGGTGGAATCGTGGTATAGCATGGACGTCTAGTCAGTATGTTTTTCCAGCGGCAGTTTGCTCAGCGTCGTCGTGTCGAGTGGAGGGTAGACTCTCGTGTTCTCACCAAGTTCGATGAAATCCACGCAAACCACTGAAACCGATTGAGTTAATCGATAATGAAGTGAAGACGATCGAGTGAATTCACAAGAACTAGTGAAGAAATGATTGAATCTGGATTATAAAATAGGATGGCTCGAATCATGCGGGTTTTGTGGTGTGTGGTAGTCGTTCTGGGGACGGCTGTCACTGTGACGAGGTCCTGGGGCATCGGTCACGCAGGACATGCCGGCAATGGCAATGCCAAGTGCGAGAGACTTACCGTTTCTCTATGTAGGGGATTGCGGTACAATCTCACTGCAATGCCGAATTTCATGGGACACACGGACCAGTTGCAAGCTGAACGCGGGGTGAGCATTCATTAATGGAGATAAAAGCGCAGGGGAAATTCAGTTTAAGGGATTTATAGGGGAGAGTGGAGTAAAACGGCCCCTTTTGATTTTTTCAAAAATGTTGACAGCTCATTCAATTTTAAATAAAATGAAATAATTTTTTTTCCTATGGAAACTAAACTTCTTCGCCTTTAGAATGAGCCTAGACTGATCTCAATTAATGAATTTGTTTCTGAGTTATGAGTATCACAACAAAAAGTCAAAAGGGGCCGTTTTACCCCACTTGCCCCCACTAGGGGTTTAAGGGGTAATTGAAGGCCGCCGGTTCCGCGAAACTCTCAAACAAATTTCCTGCTCGAAGTTATCAATATTTTCTGAACCCAAAGTACATTGATCTTCATCATCTTCTCCTGGAGATCAATGCGCTTCGATTTGTTGAAATCTCGATAACTTTCGGCAGGAAATTCGCGCAAAAATTAGGATAATAACGGCGTCGTGTCACCCCTTAAGGGGTAAACAATCGTATGTGCAAAGTGGGAAATTACTCTTTTATTTATATTAAAGATATCCAAGTACTTTGGCCATTTTCCCTTCAGTGAAATGATGCTATCTACATTATCTTGAAACTTCGATAACATGGTATGAGAAATTTCTTTTCATCCATAATTGAATGCATTTAAAGCATGATATCCAAAGATATCTCCGGAATTCTCATTTTGAAGAAACACATAATTTTTAAAGCAAACAAACTAATTTAATTATATGGAAGAAAAGAATAAATTCCATCGATTTATTAGCGAATAATCAAAGAAAGTCTTGGGCTAATACAAACGAAATTGCAGATATATCACAAAAAATTCAGAACTTGAAATTGAACGATCACAAAGCTTCCATTTGGAAGTAAATATTAGCATTTATATGAAAAAAAATGCCATGAACTTATCAGGAATAGACCTTCAGAAATTATTCGTAAAAATTATTCTTAAAAAATTGAACCATTACAAAGCTTCCATTCGGAATCAAAATATCAGCATTTGTATGGATAAAGAAAATGCCATGAAATTATTATTAATAGCCCTTCAGAAATTATTCATATGGAATTATTCCAAAAAATTGAACGATTACAAAGCTTCCATTCGGAACTAAAATATCAGCATTTGTATGGATACAATAAATTCCATGAAGTCATCGTGAATAGCCCTTTAGAAATTATTCATATGGCATTATTCCTAAAAATTTGAACGATTACAAAGCTTCCATTCGGAAGTAAATATTAGCATTTGTATGAATGGCAAAAAAATGCCATGAAATCATCGTGAATAGCCCTTCAGAAATTATTCATACGGAATTATTCCTAAAAATTCTATGAGAGTCTTTGATGCCCCGTTTCATGTGATCTCACTTATCATGTTAACACATGGATTATCGTCTCAACTGGGAATGAGACGATATGAGTTGACGATGATATGACGATGAGTTGTTTTTGAGTCTGTGGGAATGAGACGTTACATCAAGCGTTTATCAGGCCGGTATGAAGTCTTTGAGCGGTACAAAAAATACGGACAAAGCGGTGCCGCCGAATGATATCGAGGGGATCGTATATCCGAGGAGTTTATAGGATTTGAAAACTGTCAACGGGTCTTACAGGCAGCGAAAAAATATTAAATAAATGCCGGAATTGAAATGGGAATCATACATTCGGCATTTGCATCAGATTGTTTTGCTTACTCAAGTTGTTTTTGAGTCTGTGGAAATCAATGCGATTGCCTCATACCCTTAGGATTCTTCAACTGAATATTTATACTTCTGTAAATGAAGTGTAATCAAGGGATCATTAACCTTCGGCCATTAACGCCCCAGCAATCCACCTGAGACAGCATAATCGATGGATCGAAAATAAGTAGTTTCACTCCTCCATTAGAACACATCCTCTGACCCTGAAGTACTCCCCACGGTTTTTCGAACACGTGTACGCATTCGTGATGGGTGAATGGGGAGAAACCCTAAAAGCATTGGAACGAATCATCGGAAATCATCGTGAAAACAACTCTCAATTTTGGGAATTTATGGAAGATCAAATCAAACGGTAAAGGAAGAAAAGAAATCACGATGACACGGGAAAAATTTAATAGATTTTATTCAAATGAGGTCAATTAATCAATTATTAAAATTAGTCATTCAGTTTGGGAAAATATTAATTCGTCAAAGGGGAGAATTGGGAATGGAAACAATGAAAATAAAAATAATTTTTTTCAAGTCGTAACACTTTTCCAATCAAAATGTTAAAAAATGGATTTTATTGCTAAATTTAATCGATGAATTCGATGGATGAATGACAAAATTAAATTAACATCCATAAAAAATTATGAAAGATACCCAAAAAATTATATCACAAGTCAATAATCCAATTTTTTTAGAGACTGAAGCCACAGTTAGACTGAAATCGATTTTATACAACACAAAAACCCAAAAGTGAAAATAAAATTGTTTGCAAAATGTAATGCTCCTTACGTAATTTAATCGATGAATAACAAAATAAAATAAACAGCCACAAAAAATTATGAAAAATACTCAAAAAATAACATCACAAGTCAAAAAAACATATTTTTTGCAAAGACCAAAATCCATTTTATGGAATAAAAAAATTCCAAAAGTGATTTTTTTGTTTGCAAAATGTAATGCTTGTTACGTCGTTTAACCGACGAATTCGTGAAATGAATGACAAAATGAAATAAACATCCTCCAAAAATTATGACAAATCTGCACGAAATAATTCTTCAAAGACTGACGCCACAATTAAAGACTGAACTCAATTTTATACCAAAAAAATCCAAAAAGTGAAGAAAAAATGTTATCTTTTACAAAATAAAATTAACATCCACCAAACATTATGAAAAATGGTCAAAAAATAACATTAAAAGTCAAAACCCCAATTTTTTAAAACGAATTCGCTAAATGCATGACAAAACAAAACGAATATTCCCCAAAAATAATGGAAAATCCTCAAGAAATAAATGCGAAAGTAAAAAAACCGAATCTTTCAAAGACTGAAGCCTCATAAACAGAAGAATACGTGGCAGAGTCATACTCGTATCTCATACTCCCTCGTGTTTCCATGCGCCCGAAGATGAACCCATACACGCACACCCTCCACATGTGTTTCATGCTGGCATGGGGGGGCCATCTCTCCCTCCCCGGGAATCGTAATCGAGACTCGTCTCGCACGCGAGAGGATATGATCCGCCATGTGAGACAGAGACAGGGGGACTCTTCAAAAGCCCATGCCGCCTTAATATTATTACGCTAATAAAACTGAGCGAGCGAGAGTAAACCTCCTGGACTATAAATACCTCCGGCGTCTTTTCGAATCGCCGCTCACTCCGACGTTACGTTGCACGCACACCCTTTTGACTCGTTCAACCGCATTTCCTATCTTTTCTCCTCTCTTTTTCATTAGTTTTTATTGTAATTCATGGAGGTACATATTTAGTGTCTGGATCAGACCGGAGATTATTTCGAGAAGTCGATGGGCATGGAAAGAATTTTTTTTTTTTAATTCTTTCGCGAAAACAGTACATGAATTCTAGATTAAACCCTAAAAATTGTTTCCAATATTTTCGTTTCAAAAATATTTTCTCTCTTCTTTATTTTTCTTTTATTTTCAATCATTATGTATTCATTTATTCATTAAAAAGGAGTTAATGTCCGCTTTTATTATGTTGAGATTTGAGAAAAATTTGGAGAAATGATTTTTAAAAATTTTAACGACGAGAAATTCACGTTCTCTATGAAATTGGGTGCGATGAACTGCTCACCAATTTTTATGTCAATTCTCTATTAAAAAATAGGCAAAACATTTTCGGTCAGCAATCTATACTGGACATAGGAATATTCCAAGTTTATCTTAGCTTATGAATAAAAAATAATTATTTATACATGGAATGTATAAAATAATGACAATATTATTATCTCTCTATATC